TCTGCCGCATCCTTGGTGCCACTTTCTGTTTCGAAGGGTGCCCTTTCAACATTTGGAGGTCTCGCAGCGACTGGGGATGTCAATCGATCCACCCAGGGAATCCAATGGAAAGCCTGGCGGGCGGGGGCGGGGGCCATTTCAGGCGTGCCAGAGCCACCAGAGCGAGGTGCGTGCCACGAAAAGGTTGACCCGCAAGCCAGAAACTCCTGAGACTCCTTGTGCACGCGATGTGCCCTGTCAGTTTGTGGCTCTGAATACAGTAGCTTCAGCAGGACTCCAGCAAAACTAGCACTGACCTTGCCAGTTCGCGATGAGTAGCGTGGCTCCCCTCAAGACGCATGTCAGCCGGGCAAGGAATTTTGCAGCTTAGCAGCACAGCCTTCATTGCCAGCCAGCCGGGGCACTTCATTGCTCAAACCAGCTCGGTCACAGTGGCCCGCGCATGTTCAGCCATGCAAGTGCAAGCGGGAAATGCGGAGGCTGTGAAGTAATTTCCGTTGAGAGTTTCGCAGACATGCTCTGCGCCAGCACACGCTGTCGGGCGGTCTATGCGCCTAAAAGCACAGCGTTGCTTGAGGAGAGCAATTAACCTTCTGTCTTCAGCTGCAAATTGATGCTAGCAAGAGCAGGTCTTGCTTGAGGGGCAAGACTGACCTCTTTCAATCAGCACCTCCAGCACAAGCCTTCACGCTTTGCGCGCCGAAGGTCCACTTGAAGTTGCAGCCACCGAAAGGTCACAGGGGCCTTTCTTCCAGGTCCTCCGAGCCGCGCATCAAAATTTGCAACGGGCTGTAAGCATCGTTCAACATTTGGAACGCTTTGTGCTGTGTTTGGCTCACTTTCCCACGAGGTTTTATGGCCTTGAAGGCATTTCTACCTGTCCTGGTGTTTCTGGCATTAGACACATATCCTCCTGCCCAAGCTTTCGTCGTCGCACCCAGCCACAGCCTTGTTGCATCGACATTGTCACCACAAGGAGCTCCGTGATTTGGTGCCATCAGTGTCAGAAACTGCTCAGCTCAAAGTTCCGGCGGAGTGCTTCGTGCAACTGTCCGCTCTCTGACTCCAGCACTGGCTGGTTTCACTTGTTTGGCCTGTAGCTGCCGGCTCCTACCAGAGCTCCTCCCAGAGTTGGCAGTCTCGCGTTGGCGCACCAGGGTATGAAGTGCGTGTCTTGAAACGGACTCGCGTGGCTTAGCTGTGCTGGGCTATTTTGGCGTTCACGTCAGCATAGCGTGGGAGTCGCAAGTGGGCTTGGTGCGACTTACGGACAGCGCATCAAAAAAGAGCATTGCCGATAATCCGTGCAATCATGCTGCAAGCAGCAGCAGATTCGTCAATAGTTGCATGCGCGGCGTATCCTAGTCCAGATACCAAGGTCAAAACTTGCAAACACTCCAAGTAGTCATGCGCTATGCTTCAGTAGTGGCAGCTGCTGCAAAGGTTGTTACGTTACACAGCTCAATTCGAATGCACGCAAATGGTTTGGCACAACATTGCATGCCTTCGATGGCATCATCCAAGGCGGCTTGCTTGTTTCAGTCACACTGCCCACTGTCAACGAGCAGCCTTGCGGGCGACAACACGTTGGCATCAATGTCAACCTTATTCTTTGCCGTTTCTGGCTTAGATTGCTCGCAAAGCAAGAGCAGCTTATCAGTTCGAGGGAAGTGAGTTGAGCCCGCCAAGTTATTTCTGCTCAAGTGTATGCGGTCGATTCAAGCGAAAGTGCGGGTGACCTGAGTCACAGATGACAAGAAGCGGTATGACAGCAGCGGCTGCTTTGTACAGCGAAGTGGTGAAAAGCCTGCAAACATGCCTTGTCTTGAACACGCACTTAATGACATTTGTGCGGACACACGCGTAGCGCCACCTGTTTCCCTGGTGCGAGCACTGGTCACAGTTAGTCTCGCCTATGTTTGTGACTTTGACAAGCAACTCCGGATATCAATCCGAAGCGATTTTCCGGAATCTGCAGGGAATAGCCAAAATGTGATGTGTCGATCATATGTGCTGTGTCTTGCAAATCTCTCACAGTCAGACTGGAGACTGGACTACGTGCCATGAACTTGGGGGTTTGCGGGGCTAAACTGGTCGTTAGCAATTTGGTTGAACTTCTCCCCATCTGGGTGCTCGAGCGTTGCTCTTGGTGGGGCCATCTTGGCTTACAGGTTGCCAGAAGGCGGGCTTCCCTGGGCTTGGAGCAGCCTTGCGGTTTGCTGGCTGCTTTGGCCTTGCAAAGAGGTTAGGCTTATTTGGAGCCATGCCGATTCCACGTTACAGCCATCCATCTCCTTGTGCGCTTGTGATATTTGCAGTTGCAAGCTCATAGCCTGGGCCGTGTGGTTGTTCCATGCCACGTGCGTGCAAGCCCGTAGAATCACAGAGCAAAGGCCGCGTTGGCTCGATAGAAACTATCTCGAGCGAGAAAGCAGCCACTGCCCAGCAAGTCCAATGGCGGCTCTTGAGCAGGTTGCCAGCAGGCGTGGCCTTTCTGGAGCAGCGATCAAACAACCCATGAGGAAATCTCGTCTTGGGGCGCCAACATGTATTCTGCAGCACGAATGGTTCAGGGCGCGGAAGCTCGTGGAAACTTCCGCGGAGAACAAAGCAAGTTTTGTTGCTGTGGAATCCAAAACCCATGTCGCGGAAGGTTGTGGAAGCCCCGCAGCTTGCAGCCCCATATTATGACAGGTTGTCCTTTTGACTTTGGTCACTGCTAAGACTGGGCGTGAAGCAGTTTGCTGGCTTCTTTGGACTTATTTGGATCCATGCCTGGAGCCATGCCGATCAAGTCACAGCTGTCCATCTCAGCTGGCGCTTGCGTGTTTTGCAGTTGCAAGTTCATATCAGCCTGTAGTTGTTCCTTGCAAGGGCAAGGTGCGCACGCCCTCACAGAGCAAAGGCCACGTTGGCTCGTTACAAACTAGCTCGAGCGGCAAAACACATCCATTTCCCAGTAAGTCCAAAGGCCTCTTATCTTGGCTTGCAGGTTGTCTGAAGGCAGGCTGCACTGGGCTTGACTCAGTCTTGCAGTTTGCTGGCTTCTTTGGTCTTGCAGAGTGGTTGCGCTAATTCGGTGCCATTGCGATTCCAAGTCACAGCGGTCCATCTCCTCGTGCGCTTGCTTGATCTGCAGTCACACGCTCATATGAGACTGAGACATGCGGCCTCTCCTCCTTCAGTCGTTCAATGCTCGAGCGAGTCAGACACAGCTATCAGCTGTCGTCGCAAACGCAACTTGAGTTGTTGTTGCTGATTCAACCAGCGGCTGTCAAAAGCAACGGGTTGGCCGCTGACACTCCCCTTGCTGCGGCGCAAGCAAACTAGCTATTCTTCGGTTCTATCCAGTGGACGAGTCGAATAGGGGCCACGGCTGTGAATGCTTGAGCGCAGCGCCACAGTAGCGCCACCTTCAACAGCAAGTGCCGCGAAGCTTTCGGCTGTGACTAGCCACTTTGCAATGCGCCTTCTTGAGCCCTGCCTGATGCCCAGCTATGGGAATTTAGTTTGCTGGCAGGTTTGCCATAGAACTTGGCCAGGGCTTGCGTGCAAGAAAGCCTCTGCTTCTGCTTGCAGTGCTTGCATGTCTGCTCCGGCGCCTACTTGCGCCGGCCAGCTCGCCAATGATTGGGGATAAGGACATAAGAGGAGGGAGGAGTGGGAAGAAGTGAACCATGTCGGAGATGCCTGTCGGGCGAGACTTCAAATCCAAACCCCTGGTCTGCTGACTCTCGGTCCCCGCCACCCCATGCAAGAATATTCCGCTGTCCGGATCCTACCTAGGTTACCCAAGTCTCGGGTCCCCCAAAAGCACAGGACCTGAGAAGCCTGCTTTCAACATAGAGGCTAGTCCCATGCATATGCCTGCCAGGGTTTGCTTTTTCCGCATTGGTCCCCCAGCCCGTGATAAGTCTGGTAAGTCTACTGAGTTGAGTGCTTCTGGAGCTACGCACTCTGCGTCCCAGTGTAGGCAACCCAGAGACTCGTTTGTTACGTTTGACCCTGGTCGAGCTACAGCAGACAGAGCGGACAACCGTAAGGCTGATGACAGAGTTTCATTCATGGACATTCCGAAGGCTCTTGTGCCGGTGGCAGGCTTTTCAGAAGGACGGGCAGCAACAGTCACGCAACCAACAGGGGGCTTGACCTTGTACTGACAATGCCATGTCATCACGTTTGGCATCACCAGGACTGACCAAGACAGGCCGCGCGCTCATCGCTGAAGCGCAGTCATCAGCTACGTGCAAGCACACTGCTGGGCAGCGCTCTCCCGGCCCCCCTGCTAGCTTCAACTTTGAACACGCTCCAGCACACCAGGACAAGACTGATGCTGGTGGGGCTGGGGCTTTTGTTGAACAAGGCAACAAAAAGATGTTTTGCGTTTGCGCTGGCATGTCGGCCGCATCCAAGAAGTACGTTCAACCTGGAGCCTACAAATAGAGTTTGGGTGCCTTTTTGTTGCTTTGGGAGAAAGGCCAAACCTTCGGGAAAGGTGGTGCGCCTGACTGGGACTCACGGTTTCTTAGCTACACTTCACCGAAACCTCGCCGCTCAGCTTACTCACCACCCACCCTATTGACCTTTCCACAACCGCTGTATTTGGCTCTAAAGCAGGATTGCAATAGACCTGGAAGCAAAAGCAGGTGTCTTTGTTTGAGGGTACGCTTTTTCTGGGGTGGGTTTAAAGGGAAGCGTGAAGGCAACCTGAAGGTGTACAATTTTTGGGGATCGGAACCCCATAAGAAGAGACACCCCGCCCCAAACGGCAATTGTCCAAGCGGAGCAAATATTGCCAATGAGACCTCCCATTGCCACTTATGAGGAGCAGACCATGGGTAAAGGAATCCGTGTCACTGTCCGATGGACAAGGAATCACCCCTCTCCAATACCAGCCTATCTGACTCGAACGCATTTGGATCACCAAGACCAGGTGGTTTAACATAGACCTAAACCACCGGCATTTGGAGGGAGGGGTCTTCGAACACCAATCCCTCCAGGGGCATCGAAGACTCCAGAGCAGCGGCTGGTCGGGCGGTATTGGGATTTCCATGGCCCAATGTCAAATGAGGCTGTGTGTTCGAGTGGACGACTTTTCAGCTAGGCAAACCAGGAGAACTGGTTTGCCATACGGGTCCCCGTAGATTTTGACACACCCTGGCCCCACAGCAGGTCACTGGCCAGATGGCCTTTGATTTGGTTGATTTTGGCGTCGTTGAGCGGGTTTGATGGTAGGTTTTGTTACGCGGAACCAGCGTGGGGTGTCCGGGTGGCCAAACGGGGGCCGAGGGTGTCAGGGTCCCCTCTTGTAAAACCACGTTTCTGGGATCAACAAGGGAATGGCTGGGCTCCCCAATGCTACCCTGAGTTGGCATTGTTTGAGACCTGAACGAGTTTATGTAGGGTAGGCTAAATAGGGAGCAGATGTTTTTGAGAAAGGCACGTTTGTCCAATGCAAATCGACCTTGTAATATAGGTTGAGGGGTTGGTGCGCATAGGTGGTTTGTTAGGAGGAAGGTGAGCTTAACCCAGTTACTCCAAGAGTTTGCCCTTTTGTACTCCGGGCCTTGTAGAAAACTGCGATTGATGCTCATCGGTGGGATCCTGTTCTGGATCCTGCTGGGTATTGATTCCTATTCACGGAACCGTGGACCCCACATAGGGCGGCTTGCCCATAGCACATGTCAATGCTTGGAGCGCCGCATGTACGTGGTTATCCCCGGAAAAGTTCCCAGAGTGGTTGACTCACCCAGCATACAACCTCGTGTAACTTAGTGAGTGGGTTGCCGTATGGACTGGCTCCCTGTCCGCGCTTGTTCCTTTCTCAGTGACCTGCGGGTGACGTCCCTCAGGCTATTGTTGTCAAACCCGTCGCCTGCTTCGCTGGGCGAGGTGGCGCAAGTTCAGGGCCCGAATAAGGCGGCCAAGGCTCGATGCCGGAAAGCAGCGCACTGCTGGATTCACTGGGTCCACTTCAAGTGCTTGCCTAACGCCTAACGCGTTGTTTTTTTGCTTTGTAAAATTACGTTTGGTGTTTTTTTCCTTAAAGTGATCATGTTCAAGCGAGTTTAACCTTCCTTTTGGGACTCAGCCTCAGCGGTTTCCCGTTAAACCCACAATTCAGAGGGTATTGTTGAGGCTGTCACTTTTAATGGACCCAGTCTCTGTCACTTGTTGAGCTCCGTCGAACAGGGGTGCGTGTGTGTTTTGGTGAGTATACCTTCTAGGTCAAGCTTGTTAAGTATAGATGGGATCAACGGTGTCCCCAGTGGAATCTCTTTATTTGTCCACCAGCAGTTTTGGTTCAGATTTTGCCCTCAGAAATGCCTCGGCCCCAAATGCGGCGTGAGGGCCTCGGCACGTGCATGTGAGGTTCGCACTTTGTTTTCCGCAGTTGCTCCGCAATTATAGGGTTTCGTGTGCACCGCCAAAACTGGCAGTTTTAAGGGAAAGGGGAGTTCCAGTGACTGTAATCCTCGATCTAAATCCCTTTTTGTTTGGTGGTTCGGGACCCAAGCAATTCCTTTTTCAGGGCAACAGCTGCATATATGAAGTATATATGCCCGGCATAGTCCTTGCATCGGGTGTGTCTAACTTGGATTGTATTTCCAGCCAATTAATTTCCATCACTTGGCTCCCTTTCAAACATGATTGCTCAAAGGAAACCGCCAGGTTTTAGGGCAAGTGGCTATTGGAAGCCACTTGGAGACGCAACATGAGAACAACCTGTGCAAGCAAGAGCTTTGTCACCAGGGCAATTGGCCAAGGAAGATTCATTTCGGGGAACAAGCTTACCAAGTTCCTTTGGAGTGGTTTGCTTTCTCCCCGTGAGAGACCTTCAATCAAGCTACCCGCGAAACAAAACACACCCAAGAGGATGAGCCTTGTTTCTGGGTGTTTTTCCACCACCTGTCTCAGATTCCGCCATGTTATAGATTTGCGCGTGTAGTGCTGCGGTATATCGTCTATGCTCCGATGCCCCAGATTGGCTCACAAGAGAAATTCGATCTATTGTGCCGCCATGTTGCAGCTCGATCCGCAGAAGGCAGCCGTTGCTGGTAAGTCTCCCGTAGAATCCAAGATTCGGAAGCGAGCATCCTGCCCGCAGAGCTGAACGTGTTTGTAGGAATGATTGTAGCTTCCCGATTGCAACTGACACCCTCGATGCAACAAAGCGTTGAACCTGACACAACAGCAGAGAGCTTGATTGCTCCACCGTGACTTGCACACAGCAATTTACGAGTGCAGTTTTGTGCCATCTTGTGTGTAGGAGCAAGGCTGAAGTGCAGATTGGGACATTTAGGGCCCTTGGCAATGTTAGCCAAGAATTTACCCAGATTGCAGCAGAAGAATATGGCACCTCCACCTCAGTCAGCTCCTTACAGCTCGTTGCCACATGTGATTGTATCCCCTGTGGTTTACCTTTTGGCCATGCTGATGCTGATGTTTCTCTTATTGCTGCTGACCTCGGTCCTAACTGCTAAACGCAGGAAGCCGCATTCAGTGCGCAGACTTTCGGGGATGGGTCACCGATTGACCTGTCACGGGCAGGGGTCAATGATAGCAGGGGACTGCTACAAGCGTCAGCGCAGACCCAAGAAGGGTGGCCATGCTGGCCATGGGGCTACGCGCTGGAAATGACCAATCAAAATGCACAGATTGTGCAAACATATCGATCAAGAAACAATTGCGAACCACCAGATTATCCATTTCTTTGGGCAGGGCCTATTTGGCCCCATTTCCGAGAAAATTGCGGCCTGTTGCCCTCGGCCTTCCACACTTGCTCCGTGGACCTGATTGTGCAGGATGATTCTCGGATTCGCCACTCACATCGCACCTGATGAAGGCGGTAAACTTGTGCTCCTGGTTGGCGCGCACAGCTTCGCGCGTAGGGACGACACTCAGACCCACACGCTTGCTCGAAAGCTCCTCTCTGGCATTCGGGATTTCCGAATATCAGGGAAGCAGTGCCTGAAGTTCAGGGGCAGGGTTGGCCGGGGATCACGTGTGCATGCATGCGGAAGCGTACTAGCACACATGAGCCACAATCAATACCCCGGGGTAGAAGATTGTTAGTAGGGGCAGTCCCAGCCAGAAATTGGTGCGGCCGCCTTCGCCATAAGCTCCTTTTGAAGGAACAGGTTGGCCTCTCATGCAAACATAGGCGTGGCCACCCGGGTGCCTGTTTGCGGGTTAACTGGCAACGGTGCTTATCTGCTCAAGTGAGCCCGGTAGCTGCAAATGGCCATGAGCAGGTTGGCGTCTCATCCAACCACAGTGTCCCGATCCATGCCACAAGCACATTGCGATGCGCCCGCCTTTTGAACTTTTGGGAGAGGGGCAGGCTGAGCAACGCCCCTTGTAGCACCAACGGTTCTTGTCTGTTCGGCCCAGCAGGTCATCTCTTGGAAGTTGGAGGAATCTTGTGGCAATCACTACGTCACATGGGAGTTTCCCACTGTCCCGACTGCCCTGACCGTTCTAAGGGTGCTGCAGCGATGTGCAGCATGAAGCCCCGAGCGCGGGTGTTTACTCGCAGCAATCAGGTTTGAGACAGAGTCTGCTTGTGCCAATGCCCCGATGCCACTACAATCGCTCTGTGCAGAGGACTTTTCGCTGACACGCTGCCTGCGCCCGTGTCAACTCGCGAACAGACAAGGTCAGAAACGCTTGAGCTGCTACGAGGTTCAGAGGCGCTGCACCATCGAAAGTCATATCGCTGCGCCGCGGACTCGCAGCAATCAGGTTTGAGACAAAGTCTGCTTGTGCCAATGCTACTAGAATCGCTCTTTGCAGAGTTCCTTTCACCGACACGCCGCGGACCGGAGTCTATGCCTTACTCCTTGCATGCTTCGTCGTGTTTGGGGGTCCCTGGCTGCGCCGGCCACCCTTGCCGTTATCACTTTTGTGGACATAAGCTGGAGGGTCCCCACATATTGTCCTGCAGAAAGTGCTCAGTGTCTGCCCATCACGTGTGCATGCATGCAGAAGCGTACTAGCACACATGAGCCACAATCAATACCCCGGGGTAGAAGATTGTTAGTAGGGGCAGTCCCAGCCAGAAATTGGTGCGGCCGCCTTCGCCATAAGCTCCTTTTGAAGGAACAGGTTGGCCTCTCATGCAAACATAGGCGTGGCCACCCGGGTGCCTGTTTGCGGGTTAACTGGCAACGGTGCTTATCTGCTCAAGTGAGCCCGGTAGCTGCAAATGGCCATGAGCAGGTTGGTGTCATCCAACCACAGTGTCCCGATCCATGCCACAAGCACATTGCGATGCGCCCGCCTTTTGAACTTTTGGGAGAGGGGCAGGCTGAGCAACGCCCCTTGTAGCACCAACGGTTCTTGTCTGTTCGGCCCAGCAGGTCATCTCTTGGAAGTTGGAGGAATCTTGTGGCAATCACTACGTCACATGGGAGTTTCCCACTGTCCCGACTGCCCTGACCGTTCTAAGGGTGCTGCAGCGATGTGCAGCATGAAGCCCCGAGCGCGGGTGTTTACTCGCAGCAATCAGGTTTGAGACAGTGGCACAAGCAATGCTACTAGAATCGCTCTTTGCAGAGTTCCTTTCACCGACACGCCGCGGACCGGAGTCTATGCCTTACTCCTTGCATGCTTCGTCGTGTTTGGGGGTCACTGGCTGCGCCGGCCACCCTTGCCGTTATCCCTTTTGTGGACATAAGCTGGAGGGTTTCCACATAGTGTCCTGCATAAAGTGCTCAGAGTCTGCAATAGCTGTCTCTGACTCGACCCTGCTCCACATCACACATCTTGATCCAAATGCTTCAACCCTGCGGCTCCTCCCGCACCTCGCGGAATCTTTGCGTTGCGCCGTTTCGCCTTGACGAAGGTGAAACCGGTGACCCAGGCTTCAGAAGCCTTCTCACCCAAGTTGGGCATATGTCTGGCAAGCAGCAATCGCCTTGGCCCCGGCCTTTCAAGCTGTGCCTCACCCAAACCTTTCAACTCAATTCCTGAGGTTGGTGGCAAAATGTGGCAAAAGTCTGGCCCAGGGCAAGAAGATCAGAGCTTCCGCGGCCTTCCGCGAAAACGAACTTTGAGCTTCCGCGCGCTGCACAAACCTTTCCGCGGAATTCCATTTTGGCACTCCAAAGCTAAGCTTCATGGGAAACTTGATCGCGGCTCACCTGAGTGGTGGTGTTCATTCCCCCTTATATAATTTGATTGGACGTGTACGAGACGCATCCGGGAAGCTTTCACACCGACGTGTGAAGGCTACCTGCCATGAGCATGGTTCTATGAAGCTTTTGTGGGCCTTCCGCAGTACGCTCGGGGCAAAGCGATGCAAGCTTGAAGGCGCGTGTTTCGTGGATGGCCGTCTTGCACATTCGAAACACCCTCACAGTCCAAAGGCCTTTCGAAGATAGGCCTCTGACAAGAGGCCTCAAAGAGGTCAAAAGGCCTCATTGAGTATCATGCCGAGTATATGTGCTGAGTAACCATGCCTTTTTGAGGCCTCCCCAGGCCCCGTTTTGCTAAAAAGTCACCGTTTCGTCTAGTAACACCAGCCGAAATGCGCATAAATCTATAACTATACTTATATATACTTCCACCCTACCTATGCAAAAAAATCGTTTGGGTGCATCACGTGTCTGTTTCCCTTTCGCTATTGCTGCATCTTCAGAGAGCGTCTAAACCAGCGCGAGTTGGCAAAGAGAGCATGGATCAAGCTCCACCAAACGTACACGCAGGCAAAAGTTTCAAGGATTGCAAATTCGGACGGGCCCCCAAAAAAAACACGTCCCGGATGGTGTCAATTTAGGAGTACCCTCAAATATACCCCTGTCTACGGGCAAACCATGACTTTTTGGGGCCGTTCCATGGCTTTTAGAGGCCTTTCCACGGGTAATCCACGGGTTGTCCATGGCCCAGGCGGTACCCAGCCACAAATGGCTAGGAGGTGCGCATGT